AATGCTATTATTGTGTGAAAATTCTCAATTTTATTTTTTACATTTTTAACATTATAATGCTATAACTTATTGAAAAGTGTATTGATCAATATAATTTTTTTATGGGAAATACTATTTTCTAATAATCTCTTTTTTATTCGACATACTTTGTCTTAATCAGGATATTAATAAGGAACTAGCAGTTTATGAAGCTTTTGGAATAATCCACCAATTTTTTAAAATTAAACACTATCTAAAGATTTGCATCGAAGCGTTTTTTTTTGATAGTGATTTTAATCACTGTCAGATATCATTATACTTGATCCAACTATGTCACGTCACCACTGTGCCGCGACCCCCCTGTGCTGGGTTTAAACTCTATTTGTGTGTACTACTACCAGTCTATAATATTCTAAATTTTTTGGTAACATGTTGCTATATAAATCATACATAAAAAAAAAATGATTTTTAGTTTCACTTGAATTTAAAGATGGATTTTTACAATTATAACCAAATTTTATAATAAGCTCAATTGAATAAATCTTTTTAAAAACTTTTTTTAGATATATAATCATTAAAATTAATTAAATTCTGAATATTTCTATTGTAGAATCTTTTTAAACGCCAAAAGTTAATTAGAAATGATTACTATGGTTTTTATTTAAGCTATCTATTACGATAAAAATGTAAAAAAATCGAACTTTACTGATAAATGTACTGTAAATAGGAATTATAAAATTTCCTGATTGCATACTAATCTTAACAATTTCATTTTTTTCTATTTAATAATGTCAATTTCAAACTTGCAAGTTGAGCTAAAAGTTATGGTATAAATTCATTTTTTTTTATTAAAACTTTCACTTTAAAGGACAAAAAAAAGTAGGTTCACAATTATTACTTTTAACATATTAAAAATCAAAATCAATAATAATTTGTAAACAATTAATTTTAAAAATTATATACTATATAATTAAATGAATTACTAATTTGGGTATAATGAAGGAAATAGAAGTTGATATTACTTTTGTAATTATCCATTAATTTCTTAGAATTCAACACTATCTATAGATTTGTATCAAAGCGTGTTTTATGATAGTGATTTTAATCACTGTCAGATTAAATCTATACTGGACCCAACTATGCAACGTCTCCACTATGCCACGACCCAACTGTGCTGGGTTTTTAAAATATATTTTAAAAAAATCAACGTAGAAAGTTATATTTTTTTTCTTATGTCTGTTACCACTTTTTATCAGCTCTCACCGAACTGATTTCTTTCAACGATATGTCAAAAGATCACAAATGGTATCTAATCGAAGACATTACCCTCAAAAATTGAAAATTTTTCTCTCGTTTCCCGTAAATGGGGGAAATCTCCAAAAAAATTACAAATTTAAAAATCGCTAATTTTTTTACTTAATATTGCCATAACTTTTCAAAAATGAACAAATCAATATAATTTTTTTTTTATAGATGCTTGATGTCTTTACCTATCATTTGGTATATATATATTTTTTATATCTGACCCTTTACCTACCTACAGGGGGGGATTTAAAATGACAACTTTTTCACAAAAAATTTACTTTTTCAACTTAAATTTTGAAAGTGTTCCAGAAACACTGACATTTTTATATGTATCTTAAATTAAAGCTTATGTAATATACTTAAATATTAAAAAAAAAAATTGTGGACTTTATTTTGTCTTCATGGTAAAAATAGCTCTCGTATTAAAAATATGCTATTTTTGTGTTAAAATTCTTGGTTTTGTATTTTATTTTATTATGAGGGTATTACACTGATTTTCATAAATATTATATCAATCTAATTGACATAATATAAAAAATTAAACATATATAAATTTTTTTGTTTCTTTGAAGTCGAGAAAAATAACTTTAAAATTTGAACTAGCTAAATTTCCATTATTATTAAGTGACGAATGAGACGTACAGTTTTTGAGACAGTAACACTTGGGTCTTTCACAACTGTGCACTGAATTTTTTTTTAATTCTTTTTGAGTTAAAAAAAAATTTTCAAATCATTTGATATTTATCTCATTTAGATTCAATAACTTCAATAAATATCAAGGATCCCATTACTGTAGTCTCCTATCATTTTTTTTAAATTAAACACTATTTACAGATTTGCATCGAAGCGTTTTTTATGATATTGATTTTAATCGCTGTCAGATATCATCTATACTGGACCCAACTATGCCACGACCCCACTGTGCCACCACCTCACTGTACTGGTTTTTTTTATCATAACCCACTCAATTACTTATAGAATAATAATAATTTAAACATTTTTTTTTATTATTATGTTTAGTTACACATTATCTTGAATTATTAACTATTTATTAATATTTTTAATTTAATAAAATGTTTGAGTTTTTAATTCAATAATAAATGGCATTTGAATTTTTAATAAAACTTTATTTGTTTATTAGATATAAACATTTAAAGTTTCAAATTTTTGAGTTAATATACATATATAATACACAAGAAATTACAAATACAGGTAGCTAATTGGTTTTTTATGACATCGATATTAGCAGGTACACATCATTGTTGTTATCAATGGTAGTAAAGTACATTGTTGTGAGTTTATAGATAAACTAACTGACAATACAAAAAGTATATATATTGATAGTCACAATTGATAATAAACAATCCGTGACTCTGACAGCAATGTCATAAAAACCAATTGCCTGTATTTGCAATCTCTTGTGTATTATACCTATATATTAACTAAAAAATTTGAAACTTTAAATGTTTATATCTAATAAACAAATAAAGTTTTATTAAAAATTCAAATGCCATTTATTATTGAATTAAAAACTCAAACATTTTATTAAATTAAAAATATGTATTCCCATTTAAAAAAACAAAGTTGAACCCCTTACAAGTCATAATGGATGAACTTAAAAAGTTTTAAATAGTTAATAATTCAAGAATAATGTGTAACTAAACATAATAATAAAAAAAAATGTTTAAATTATTATTATTCTATAAGTAATTGAGTGGGTTATGATAAAAAAACCCAGCACAGTGGGGTCGTGGCATAGTTGGGTCCAGTATAGATGATATCTGACAGCGATTAAAATCACTATCATAAAAAACGCTTCGATGCAAATCTGTAAATAGTGTTTAATTTAAAAAAAATGATAAGAGACTACAGTAATGGGATCCTTGATATTTATTAAATATTTTTGTTAAAATGCGATATTAAAAAAAAATGTTATTTTTAATTCATCTTTACTATTATGTAATTCAATAATTGATTATTTACATCATCAGATTTAATATGTTCATTATTAATTCAGCCAAAAATTATCACTTGGATTCTTTTTAGAAATAAAGAGTTATTTAAGTTTTAACTTACGTTCTTCTTTTTGATTATCGTCTAGGATCCCATATGCTTTCAACATACATAAATTAGTATACATATATAATAATTACTTCATTTATATTATCATATTGTCCAAAAATTGATTGATTTTATAATTACATTTAATAAGAAATATGAAATTCATATATCTAAATACTTTTAACGTATAAAACCAAACTATTCAACCGTATTATAAGTGAGTGGACATTATCACCTATGACACATATTCACTAAATTTTTGTATTCTGAATTACGAATATCACATTCCATTAAAATCATATCAGTGCGTGTTTGAACGAAACGCCCGGTTATAATGTGCGGGTTAGTTACTGTTCGTTTCTGGAGTATTTATATCATGCAGGAGAAAAAAAGTAGGAGTGGACTGTATAAATGAGTAAATGTATTGAACTATAAAACAATAAACTGTATTTCTAATATAAACTAAAATATTATATATATTAGGGGAGCCCTTAATGCTAATACAATAATGCGTCAAATAAAACAAATAATAATATAAAAATAAGACAAAACACTGTAATTAATAACTACTTATCTATACTGATGATGACTGGTTGATGCAAATGAAATCGTTGGTATGATCAGTGAACCAAACAAAATGTATTGTCGCGAATATTATGAGCGTATCGCAAGGGCGATAAAAACAATAACGCACAAAGGTGCGACAATCGCAAGGACGATATATAAGCACTTTTTCAACAACTACGGGCTCGCAAGCATCGTAAAGCCATACAACAAAAAAAATGAGGATGGCAGCGAAAACGCAAAAATGTCATACAAGAACCAATAATAATAAGGCGAGTCACAAGAGTCACGCACGTAAACATCCAATCTAGTGACGAATCCCTCGCACAACCGGTGGTGGCAGCGCGAGTGGCACTATCAGTCACAGCAAAATCTGAGAAAAACGCCCTCTTGTGATGCGTATCTAATAGTGCGTACAATTTTTCATCGTAAAAGAAAAATTCAATAATAATAAATATAATAGGTGTAGTATTAATCGTGTATAAGATGAAAAAAAAAAGACTTAATGGTAATGGTTTGATCATTTTATGAGGAGAGATGAATCGGAAACGGTAAGAATAGTTATAGAAATAAATGCTGAATGACGAAGAGGTAGAGGAAGACCAAAAAAACGTGGACGGATGTTATTGAATGTGATATGACGAAGGCTGATGTGAGCGTAGTTAATGTGGGAGATTGTGTCAAGTGGAAGTTTAGAACAAAGTGTCCGACCCAAAATAGTCGGGATTAAGGTGAGAAAAAAAAGGATGAGTTATAACTAAATTATACATTTCTAATATTTTTATTTTAAAGACAAGTTTTAGTTCTACGAAGCGGTACGCATATGTTTTTTCGCGCTCTCGATATCTTATTTTATTTTTCTCTCTTTTAATTAATTAATTCACTTAATAATACCTGTAAACGGCGTTTGGAAATGTGCTAGTTGCGTTTCTTAATTGTTTACTAGCATAACTAACTCAAAGTGCCCCAATTACGTTTAATATAGTTCACTCGTTTCGGCGATTTACGTAAAACACATTGAGGTTCACCACGGCCGTCGTGGCGGCGGCCTTGATAATTTTATAGTTGTACGCTATCGTGTGCACTCCATATCGTATTATATATATCAATACTCTCGCCACAATATCTAACAATAACGACAGACCGATTGCACCGATCAAAATTATTCATAAAAGCGTACATAATTCATCGTCCCAAATGAATGCAAACAACAGCTCAGTAAATGATGGCTGGACAGTACAGAGAAATAAAAGAAATCACTCCAGTTCCTCTTCTTTTGAATCACCAAACTCACCTAAAGTACATACTCAACCAATTAAAAAAAAATTATTTTCATCATCAAATAGATTTGAAGTTTTAAAAATAACTGATGATCATGACGATACTCAAAACACTAACACATTCTCAAACAATATGAAAAAAAACAACACAGAATCTACTACCAAACCACCTCCTCCAATTTTTATAAAAGGCGTGCAAAACTTTCTACACTATGCACAAATCTAATTGAGATACTTGGTGTTGAAAACATTATTTGTAAGTCATCCACGGATCAATTAAAAATCCAAACTAGCACTCTTGATACATATAAGACATTAATTCACTTCCTTAAGGAGCAAAAAGCTGTATATCATACGTATCAACTGGAGCAAGATAAACCCACTCGTGTAGTAATTCGCAGTAATTTACACCCAACAACTCAAATCAGCTTAATTAAATCAGAACTGGAACTCCATGAATTTAAAGTACGTAATGTTACTAATATTTTTCATAAAGTCCATAAACATCCATTACCACTATTTTTCGTCGATCTGGAACCTATACCTCATTCAACTATTATATATAAATTAACCTCTATGTACCAACTAAAATAAAAGTCGAAGAACCGTACAAACCTAAGATATTAAGTCAGTGTCTAAACTGCCAGGATTATGGCCATACTAAATCTTTTGTAACTATCCACCATGCTGTGTTTGCTGTGGTGATTTCCACCAATCATCCGACTACTCAAACTCTCGTGATGTTATAAGCTACATAAAGTTAACCATGCAGACAACACAGCTCATCGAAGTGTGGCCATCTTAATAAAATCCACAATAATATATCAAACTCTTCCAAATTTCTGTCAAGACTTTATTCAATCTTCTGCTATACAAATCAGTTTAAATAATATTCCAATTACAGTAGCGGTAATTTACTCACCTCCTAAGAACAATGTATCATATACAAACTTTTTAAATAATTTCAATATAATTAACAATAACTTTATAATTGGCGGAGATTATAACGCAAAGCACCAAAGTTGGAGATGTCGAGTAAACAAACCACGTGGAATCGTTCTCTACAATTTTATAAATTCTAAAAATTGCAAAGTACTTGCTCCTCCAGGATCTACCTATTGGCCATCATCCCCCCCCCCATAAAAATCCAGATATACTGGATATATTTGTAACTAAAATCCCTTCGAATTTGCACTATTCTGTTGACAATATTCTGGATTGAAATTTCGATCATTCATCGGTTATTCTCACAATTAAGGACTATCTGCAAATCATCATTGAACCATTAAGACTTTTTCACGAATCAACTCTGATCGTTTCCAATTTCATGACCTTGTAGATCAGAAGCTCCAAACAAATATTAAATTAAAAACCAATGATGACATAAACACTGCTGTAAATAGCCTAACTAAAGTTATTCAAACAGCAGATTGGGCTACTAACACAGCTAAAAATGTACGTACCACTAATACCGATTCACTACCGACAAATATTCGTATCCTCATAGCAGAAAAAAGAAGAGCTAGAGCTCATTATCAACGTACTCGCTTACCCTCACACAAAAAAATATATAACAAGTTAGCCAACTACCTTAAAAAAATATTATCTAATTACAAAAATCTCTCTTTTGAAAAGTACCTGACTAACTTATCATCAAAAAATAGTAGCCTTTGGAAAGCGAGCATTACAATATAAAGTAACTACCCAACCTATTAAAAAGACTGATGGAAGTCTAGCCTCGTCAGACCTTGAGAACTATTTAATAATCACCTCTTTAACGTTTTCCAACCCTAACAAGATATTTCACCTGACAACATACATACGGTTCTTAGGTATCTAGACGTACCATTAATCAAAACTTACTTTACCAGTCAAGCATTTTACACAAAGTGATATTAAATTTACCATACAAAAATACCCTTTAATGAAGTCTTCAGGTTTTGATCTAATTACTGTTGAAGTAGCTAGATGTCTACCTAAACGAGCATTTATCCTACTTACGCATATATTTAATGCCATACTGAGGCTTTCCTACTTCCCACTTCTCTGGAAGTTCTCTAAAATCATTCTATTCCCAAAACCAAATAAGCCCCTTGACTCGCCAACTTCTTATAGACCAATTAGTCTATTACCATTTTTTGCGAAAGTTTTAGAAAGGTTCATACTCACGAGCATACTTCCCTTTATCAATGAAAATAAAATACTACCAGATTACCAATTTGGTTTTCGTGCAAAGCATTCAACTATCCACCGAGTACATAAACTAGTTGACTCAGTTTCTTATGCACTTGAAAAAAAATTATATTGTACCTGTGCTTTTCTTGATATTACACCGGCCTTTGACCGAGTATGGCATGAGGGACTGCTATACAAATTAAAAAAAATTTTGCCCCTTACTTATTATATTCTTCTTAAGTCATATCTAACCGATCGATATTTTTAAGTCCATCATAAATCAGCGTATTCTAATATTGCAACAATTAGAGCTGGTGTTCCACAAGGAGGAATCCTTTCCCCAATACTGTATAACTAATACACTTCAGACCAACCAACCACGACTAACACATTAGTGGAAGACTATGCAGACGAGAAAGTAATTTTATCAACCAATGCAGATCCCATTACTGCATCGTATAACTTACAAAATCACCTTTTATTAATGGAAGTTTGGTATAAGAATTGGAGGTTTAAGGTCAATCGAGCAAAATCAATTCACACAACATTTACTCCTAAGCTTTGACAGTGCCCAAGTGTTACTTTTTATGGTATTCAAATTCCATCTTCTCCGTCTGTAAAATATCTTGATTTAACCCTAGACCACCGACTTACCTGGGCCCATCATACTCGTGCAAAAAGACTCCAATTAAGCCTTAGATTCCGTATGCTTTAAACTTTACTAATTAATAACAAACATACTAACTTAAATATGAAACTTCTAATGTATAAATCCCTTATTAAACCCATTTGGACCTATGGTCTTCAACTATGGAGAAATGCTAAAAAATCAAATATAAATCGTATTCAGACATTTCAAAATATTTCTTTAAGAAAATTAACGAGCTCCCCTCCATATGTATCAAATTATACCCTCCATTCTGATCTAAAAATTAAAACTGTTAAAGAAGAAGCAATTACATATTATAAAAGATTCCACACTCGACTAGCCTCCCACTCTAATCCCCTAATAAAAGGTCTTTCAACTAATGTTATTCCTGGTAATCCTCCGAGACGCTTAAAGCGCAACTGGTATAGACATCTATTTACTTAACTTTAGTTAAAAAAAGAAAAATTAAAAAAAAAAATAGTAATCATTTAAAAGTGTCATACATGGGTGGCTCCTTTTATCAAGTATTTCATGTTATAATTATTTTAGCCAATACTCTTATTGTACCTATAGGGAACAGATTTTGTATATATTAATAAAAAAAAAAAGACAAGTTTAAGTTCTTTCAAAAATGTTACTTAAATATTACAGAATCTCATACCGTATTTCTATCATTAAAAAAATACGTTATTTCTTCACCTCCACAAAAAAAATCTTTATATATTAATAAATATTTATTCGTATATTTTTATAATAATGTTTATTACCAGAGAAGTAATTATTTTATAAGCAATTTAATTTACTAAATTGATTATAGTAATTTAGTTAAAATCCAACCACTGGATGATCTCTCCACAAGTTAATGTTTTTTTTTTTTATTACTTGTATATAATAATAATTTATATTAATTTATATTAATTGTTATTATATGAATTGTATCATTTTCTATAATAATAAAAAAAAAAAATTACCTGCGAAAAAAAACAAACACAAACTCAGTAAGACTGGATAATTCTGTAAAATAATGAAAACATAATTATAATCAGAATAACTTATTATAACATTACAATGTACAGACCATTTTCATTTTTTTGCCTTTTTTTTATGCTATTCTTCGACAATTTTCTTTTAATAAATATCATATCAAAAATAACTGTCTTTATAAAAGCTTATTATTGAACAAAATTTAATAAGTAAACATTAAAATTGAATTATTTATTCCCTACAAGATATAAATATACAGAGTGACTATTGAGCTATGACATACGAAATATCTTTTCATTTACTTTTTTTTTTGTCAGAAGTTAATAATAACCTAAATTCTATAATTTTCACACAAAAGTTTTGTTCTATTCCATCTCTCCCTTAAAATTATATAATATTAATAGAATAATCATATGTTTAACCAGATTAAAAATTAGAATAAATAATTATCTCATTAACAAAATAAACGGTTATTAACAATTTTTAAACTAGTATTTTGGAATTTCCGGATTTATTTGCTTGTATAGTTATTATTTATGAACCGCATTACACCTCCCAACAAGGTATAAAAATTTTAATTAGCATTTTTTAAATTTAAAATATTATAATATATTTTAAAGTGCTGATACAAAAGTTGTTGTAAACCTATAATTTCATTTTAATGTACATATTTTTCATAAAAAACAAAAGTTGACATTTTTTTAACGAAGCAGGGAAATAAGAGCAAATAAATTTTGAAAAGTCATAACCCGTAAGATATCAATAATTACTGAAAAGAATATATGATTCTATGTTTATACTTTTTATGATATTTCGTAAAACATAATTAAACAATCTTTATATATATTACTAATGATTCGTTTAAATATCTCTACTCTACTTAAAGAAACATAAATTAAAATCTAAATAAATTCAATTATCTACCGTATACTACACTTTAGGTTATAGGTTCATCAATAGATTTTATATCTAAGTTTTTGAATAATCAACTCGTAACATGGCTTTATGTATTTAAACTACCACTATTTTTTCAATTTTTCGTGATTCTAAACAAAACTTACAGTTCGCACTCGCTATTATCATTATTTTTGATAGTATATAGAAAATTTCCTGACTCTTAAATGTTCTACATACATGTACATTTTTATCTATTTCCATTTAGCGTGCAAAATTGTTATCGTCTGAGTTAAGAAAAAGTGGTAACAGACACAAAAAAAAAATAAACACATCTTAGTAAAACCAATACCTTCTTAGCTTCGCATCGAAGCTAAAATTGGTAGATTATTCCTAAAGCTACCTGATCTGCTATTTCCTTATTTATATTCTGATTAAGATAAATTATGTCCAATGAAAGATGTATATAAATACTACTTCTCATGAAAAAATTGTATTGATTCATACATTTTTCAACAAGTTATAGCATAATAAATTTAAAAATGGTAAATACAAAATCGAGAGTTGTCACACAAAAATAGCATTTAGTAGCCACTTTTACAATGAAGACAAAATAAAGTCCGAAATTTTTTTTTTCATAATAAAGTATATTACATTAGCTTTAATTTAAGATATATATAAAAGTGTCAAAGTTTTAAGAACACTTTTAAAAATTAAGTTAAAAATGTTAATTTTTTGTGAAAAAGTTGTCATTTTGAAACCCACCCTGTGGGAAGGTAATGACCAAGGGTTAAATTTATAAAAAAAATATACCAAATGATAGGTAAAGACATCAAACATCTATAAAAAAAATTTATATTGATTTGTTCATTTTTGAAAAAGTAATGGTAGTTTTAAGAAAAAAGAATTGAAAAATTTTCGAAAATTAGCGATTTTTAAATTTGTAATTTTTTGGAGTTTTCTCCCATTAACTGGGAACTAGAGAAATTTTTTTAATTTTTGAGGGTAATTTCTTCGACTAGATACAATTTATGATCTTTTGACGTATCATTGAAAGAAATCTGATGGTTAAGAGCTGAGAAAAAGTGGTAACAGACACACAAAAAAAAAAATAACACATCATAGTAAAACTAATACCTTCTCAGCTTTGCATCGAAGCTAAAATAATAAATGTTCAATTTGTATATAACATAAATATATTTAATTAATATTATTATTTTATCGTACAAATTACATTACGCAGATAAATTTTTTTTTAATTAAACTTTAATGTTTTATTAGCAATGTAGGCTATTAAGCATTTTTCGATCATATTTGGTAACTTAGTAACACGCTAGTTAATCTCATTTTTTGACAATGATATTAGAGTTTCAGAAAAAAATAAAATTATAAAATCATTAAACATTAATAATGAAAATAATAGCAATTCGTAAAGATTTTTATTATTTTGAATAATATTTAAATCCAAAAAGGTATAACATTTTTAAATTACTTTGTTTTTTTGGGGAACAATATTAGCTACAAGTGATCAATATTTATTTTGCAACAAATTATTGTTAGATACACATCGGTTGAATATGCTGTCAAGAAATTGTGTTGTGATTATTCATGTTATCTTTTTGTTACATCGAGTTGGTGTCGGTCTTGTCTCTATGTCTGCATTGTCGCCGCCATCTTAACGCTTCTTCTGCTATAAGCTCAATGGCATTTGGTGAGCCAAAAGTTTTGTATTCGTTTTACTGTAAAAGAAAAATATCACTTTTGCGATTGTTTGCACCCTATGCGTTTAGTTTATCACCATTGTGTCTATATATTTTCTGAGATATATCACAATACCGTTCACAGCATATTGTACACGTTGGTCAGCTACTTGCAATCGACTTCAATTAATCCTTTCAATATTCAACATTATCTGCTTATAATAATCAGCCGTTTCATTTAGCCGATAAGTATAATGCTTGTTCATCGATCTTTCTAAGACTTACTAACTTGTATAATTTATTATTTCTTTATATCAGTGCCTTTATGGCATTAGTATTAAGTGTCTCCCCTATCCATATTGGTATATATAAAATTTTATATTTCTTTTATAATATATTTAATTGTTATAAATAAATATTATAAAATTCATTCTACATTCAAACTTACAGTCCACTCACCTCATACATTATCCTCTAAAAATTTAAAGACTTAAGACAAAATAAAATCACAAACTCAAACGAACCCGCGTGAATACCACCGGGCGCTGCGTTCAAATAATTGTCTAACAAAAAAAAAACATCCTCAAATAATTTTTTATTTAAAGCCTTGCAATATCTAGAGACGGAACTAAATATTTTTCGTGCATTAAATTAATTATTTTATAATAAATTTTTATTTTTATTGTGAATTCAATTTAAAAAAGGACTAAATCCATGGAGATATATTTTCTGTTTTTTTTTTTTATTAAATAATATTTTACAGAAATTCTATTAATTTTTTTTACTTCAAATAATATCTAAAGTTATTTTTATGTATTATAATATAATAATTTATCGTTTATATTTCTAAATCTTATACGTCATTTCTATAGTTTTACAAGTGTTTTTAAATTAAATTAATTTATTTATGATTATTTACATATATTTTATAGTGTTTAAATTCAATTCATTGATTTTCAATCATCTTAACTATTATGCGTTTTTTATATTTCTAACTTATTCCTATGAATAAATGTTTTATTAAACATTTTAATTTAAGAATTAAATATGATATACATTTTCCATAAAGTTATAGCATTATTAAGTTACAAATATAAACCAGAATTATTTTACAAAAATAGTATTTAGTATCTATTTTCATCATGAAGACAAAATAAAGTCCGAAATTTTTTTTTTTCATAATAAAGTATATTACATTAGCTTTAATTTAAGATATATATAAAAGTGTCAGTATTTTCGAAACACTTTCAAAATTTAAGTTGAAAAAGTTAATTTTTTGTGAAAAAGTTGTCATTTTAAATCCCCCCTGTGGGCAGTTCTAGGGTCAAATTTAAAAAAAATATATACCAAATGATAGGTAAAGATATCAAACATCTATAAAAAAAAAATTATATTGATTTGTTCATTTTTGAAAAAGTTATGGCAGTTTTAGAAAAAAGAATTGAAAAAATTTCGAAAATTAGCGATTTTTACATTTGTAATTTTTTGTAGATTTCCCACATTTACGGGGAACGAGCGAAATTTTTACAATTTTTGAGGGTAATGTCTTCGAATAGATACGATTTGTGATCTTTTGACGTATCAAAAAAAAAAACATCATAGTAAAATCAATACTCAACCAATACCTTCTCAGCTTCGCATTGAAGCTAAAACATACTTAAAGGGTTGTGCTAAAATACAGGCACGTCATCATTTATTGTACTCATAGTCTTTTTTTTCAGTTTTTTTAAAAATTCAAATTACTTTTATAAATACAGGTAGCATTTTCTAAAATCTTATAATACTAACTGATCATTACAATTTAATAAAATAAACGTTTAGTTACATTTTCCATGATAACATTTTTCACGTTGTCTTTAAATAACGTGATTACCATATTAATCTACTTAATTCAGTACTTTTATACTTAAAAAGTGTGGAATTTTAATATGAATTTTATATTTATATTTTGTGCAGTACCAACTGAGTTAATTCAACTTATGTAATATTATATTATTACATATAATATTAATATATAATATGATGTTATCATTTGTTCATGTATATCACATATTATGATTATACAAGATCACCAAAACAGGGTTCTCTTATTTAAAATACAAAATAGCCCTTTAACTATACGATAAAATCTCCCTCTTGTAGAAATTATTAAGTAACGCCTACACGTAGGGCCCTTATTATAATTAACCAATTAGGATACAAAGTCTCAGCTTTCAGGATCACGATAGAGATCGCTGGGCTACCCCATTCACACTTTAAAAAGCCATTTTTCCCCATCTAAACCAGTTCTTTTGACGATTTTAAAATACACAAAATCTACGACACTCTACTCAAGATTTCACTCTCCGGGACTTAGTCGATTTTGTAATTAATTTGGACTTAGAATATTTTTCTTTAAAACTAAATGACACTTAGAAATTTTGAAGTGAATTTTGTTTTGGTGAATCTTTTAATTTAATTTAATTTGTTCATTAAATAATAATTTTTTATTTTTCTTATTGCGGAAAAAATATCAAATAATAATTTAAACATTAAATCCTTTTTTT